ATTTTATATGAATTATTGTTTATTTTGTAGGTTGTCCCTAATGAATTTAAAGTTATAGAAAAATGTCCTATCTATAAATGCTAGAGCTACTGATAATCAGACTGATATAGCACTGAGGGTTTTATAAACTTAGATGGCACTTAATAGTCGTGTCTATGTTAGGTATGTACCTAAATCATGAAGATTAAATTAAATATCTCACGGTGCTTGGGAACCAACTTTATTAAATAAAAAGTTTATTTACTAGACTATTTTTTGGTCAAAGTATTTCTGAAGGACTATAGATTGGCGCAATATATTTTTTAAAATCAGTTCCAGCAGCCGTTTTTGAGAAAACTCGATTTTTTATGAAAAAGTGACCTTTTTTTTACTTTTTTGCTTGTAACTTGCGCATTTCACATTTTCTCGGCTTGCCAAAAGTAAATTTCAATGGGAAATTGTCCGCTCTACAAGAAAGCATCAATGACTTTTTTCTCTAAAATCAGCTGATTTTTAGTTAAATGAGACACGGTGCTTGGGAACCAACTTTAAATGAAAAGTTTATTTACGAGACTTTTTTTTCGGTCAAAGTATTTCTGAAGGGCTATAGATTGGCGCAATATATTTTTTAAAATCGGTTCCAGCAGCCGTTTTTGAGAAAACTCGATTTTTAATGAAAAAGTGACCTTTTTTTACTTTTTTGCTTGTAACTTGGGCATTTCACATTTTCTCGGCTTACTAAAAGTAAATTTCAATGGGAAAATGTCCGCTCTACAAAAAAGCATTTATGACTTTTTTCTCTAAAATCAGCCGATTTGAGATCTCATTTAACTCAAAATCGGCTGATTTTAGAGGAAAAAGTCATTGATCCTTTTTTTTAGAGCAGATATTTTCCCATTGAAATTTACTTTTTCCAAGCCGAGAAAATGTGAAATGCGCAAGTTACAAGCAAAAAAGTAAAAAAAGGGTCACTTTTTCATGAAAAATCGAGTTTTCTCAAAAACGGCTGCTGGAACCGATTTTAAAAAATATATTGCGCCACTCTATAGCCCTTCAGAAATACTTTGACCGAAAAAAAGTCTAGTAAATAAACTTTTCATTTAAAGTTGGTTCCCAAGCACCGTGATCTACCTGGGAGGTAATCTATGTCGATATAGTAAAGTTTTATAAAGGTTATATTTTTAAAATCTGTTCATCGAGACCTTTTCAGGAGTATTCTATATTATGTATAGTGATGTTATAATATAAGTTGACTTAAAATAAAAGATAACACTATATTCAATGTTTAATAAACATTAAACAACACTTTTAACTCTCACGTTAGTCGTACTATTTATAAAGGCATGTTGGAGGTATATGCCACTATGTCATAGAAATTTTGTTATCAGAACAACAATTCATGTATATTAAAAAAAGTTTTAATAGTTAGATTATTGTTAAACAATACACATCGTGACAATTGCATTTCTTGTCGAAATATAATTATTATTATTATTATTATTATTATTATTATTATTATTATTATTATTATTATTATTATTATTATTATTATTATTATTATTATTATTATTATTATTATTATTATTATTATTATTATTATTATTATTATTATTATTATTATTATTATTATTATTATTATTATTATTATTATTATTATTATTATTATTATTATTATTATTATTATTATTATTATTATTATTATTATTATTATTATTATTATTATTATTATTATTATTATTATTATTATTATTATTATTATTATTATTATTATTATTATTATTATTATTATTATTATTATTATTATTATTATTATTATTATTATTATTATTATTATTATTATTATTATTATTATGTTCTTCTCGCCGCTACAGTTTTGGGCGGTATTTCTGGTGAAACCAGATCCCAACAAGAGATCAAAGGTTTTCACCCTAGCACCTTGCGTAATATATGTGCAGTTCCCATAAGTGCAATTTTCTGCACTTCGTTTCTAGATGGTTGGCCTGGAAGCATTTGCAGATAGTTGTTGAGACCAGTTTTTATTGTACCCAATGCTCCCACTATAACCGGTACTACTTTTGTTTTTGTATTCCACATCCTGCTCACTTCAATCTGGAGGTCTTTATATTTACTTAATTTTTCTGATTCTTTGCTCAGGATGTTTGAATCATCTGGAACTGATATATCGATCAGAAGACATGTTTTGTTTTTTTTATCGTGCAGTACAATGTCTGGTCTGTTGGCTAAGATTGTCCTGTCGGTAACTATAGGTATATCCCACATAATAACAATGTCATTTTTAGTGATAACCTTATTCGGGATATGCTCATAGTACTTATTTGTTACCTCTAGTCCTATGTTTCTGCACATAATCCAATGGATATATGCAGCAACTTTGTTGTGTCTATATGTGTATTCAGAAGGAGCAAGCGTAGAACATCCGGCTATTATATGGCTGATGTGTTCTTCTGCTGTAAAACACATTCTACACTTGCTGTTAACGTTCTGTTTTAAGATGTTCTTCTGATAGTATTTTGTTGCTAGGACTTGATCTTGGGCAGCTACAATTAGACTTTCGGTCTCACCTTTGAGGCCTGAGCTACGTAGCCAGGACATACTTCCTTCCTTATCAACTGCTGGTCTACTCAGGTTTTTGTAAAATTGTCCATGCAGTGGCTTTTGTTCTAAACATTTAATTTTTGTGTTTTCAATGCTGATTCGTAGTTGACTGTTGTTGTTCGTTTCATTGTCTTGTCCAAAGTACTTTGTTTGAATGCTGGCAGAGGTTTTTTGAAGCGAGTATTTGGCTTTGTTCTTATCATGGTTCCTTATAAGTCGACAAAACTTATCCTTTTCCAAGCATACGTAGTTATTTAACCCCACAATGGCTAGATCGTAAGCGGACTCAAGTTCGATTAACCCACGTCCACCGTTGGGTCTCTTAATATATAATCTATCCACATCAGCCTTCGGATGGTGCATACCTCCCATTGTTAATAGCTTCCTTGTTTTACGATCTATCTTTTCTATATCTGATCTTAGCCAATCAACAATTCCGAAACTGTAGGATATAAATGGAACTGCCAAAGAGTTAATAGCAGTGATTTTATTCTTAGAGTTTAATTCTGTATTTATTATTTGTCGTACTCTTCGGTAATACTCTTTTTTTATTTTATTTTTCATATTAACATTATCTATGCCATCTCTCTCTTCAACGCCTAAATACTTGTACGATTCATGAGTTTCGAGGTTCCTTATCGAGGTTTGGTCGTCTAAGCAGATATTCTGGCATTTAACCAGTTTGCCTCGTTTATACACAGTTGTCGCACATTTATCAAGACCAAATTCCATTTTTATGTCACTGCTAAACTTTTTAACCACGATAAGTGCTCGTTGTAATTGTTCTTCGTCTTTTGTAAATAATTTCAAGTCGTCCATATAAAGTAGGTGGTTTATTTTATCTTCACCGATTTTAAATCCTATGTTTTCACTATTTAGCATGTTGGTGAGTGGAATTAATGCCATACAGAATAATAAAGGCGACAGAGAATCCCCTTGAAATATTCCTCTTTGAATGGCAATCTCATTTGTGTGAATAGTGCCATTGGCGTGAGTAAGCATCATTTGTGTTCTCCAGTTTAGCATGGACATATTTATAAATTGTGCTATGGTTTTGTTTAATCCATATATCTCCATTGTTGTCTTTATCCAGGAATGTGGCACACTATCAAAAGCCTTTTTGTAATCAATCCAGGCCAATCCAAGGTTTCGTTTGTGTTTCTTTGCCATTGAAACAACCATTTTACTAACTAATAGTTGGTCTTTGCAACCCCTTGAGCCTCTTCTGCACCCTTTTTGTTCTGTTGGGAGGATTTCGTTTGTCAGCAGATGAGAGTATATTCGGTTGGTTAATACCGATGTTAGGACTTTGTAATAAGTGGGTAAGCAAGTTATCGGTCGGTAATTCTTTGGATCTTTGGTGTTTGGACCTTTAGAGAGTAAGTAAGTCTTACCAGTCGTCAGCCATTGTGGAGTATTTTCTGGATTTTTTATAATATTATTTAAGGCTCTAAGAAGATGTTCATGAAGAGCAGTCAGCTGTTTCACCCAAAAATTTAGTAGCATGTCTGGTCCCGGTGACTTCCAGTTGTGGGTGCTTTTAATAACTTTAGTTATCTCTTCAATTGTTAAGTCCTGCCATTCTTCTGCCTGTACATGTTGGTACTTTTGTTGTTCTGTCCTAATCCATGAGGCGTGGGCGTTATGAGTAACTTCTTCCGCTAGTATTCCGTTCCAAAAATGCTCTACTTCCATTTGTGCTGGCGGTTCTTGGATTTCATTTTTCTGACTGTTTAGTTGACGGTAAAACCTTCCAGTATCCTCGTTAAATAGTTTGTTCTGATGGTAGTGATTGCTTCTCTTGGTATATCTTCTCAGTCGTTGTGCTTTTGCTTGTAGTTTCATTTTTATGATTTGTTCTATTTCTTCAATATTTGTTTCCATTTTGAATTTTCTTTTAAGATCATCAACTTTCTCACACACACGTTTACTAGTTACTCCTTTTTTGTATTCATTAATGATAGCTAGCTCTTTCCTGAAGTCTTCTATTGTTTTTTGTATTCGCATTTTCCAGTGCGCCTCTGCTTTATTAGATTTTTTTTTGTTTTTATTTGTTACTTCCACCTCACCGGATATTACGCTTGCGGTAGCGTACATTAATTCATTTATTTCTGTAAGGCTGAAATATTTATTTTGCGTTATTCTCTTCAAGACGACGTTTGCTGCTGTAATTTGTTTTTGCTTGTCTTTCGTAAGTGATACTTTTTTCAGTCTTTGGCGTCCGGTAATGTTGCGAGACTTAACTGTTTTAAGTTTCTGAGAGATATCTTTTTCCAATTGTGTTACCTCATCACCATTGGTCGCCTCCAAAAGTGGTTGATGGTGGAATAATATTTCATTGTTGTTTTGTTGATTTTGGATCTCAGTAGACCTTGCGTGTTCTCCTTGTTCTTGTGGCGACTCACTTCTTCCTAGTCGATAGTTCACTTCTGTTTTAATTTGTTCTAATTCGATATTAGTTAGTTTCTTTTCCCTTAAAATAAATCTTCTTTGATTAGCTAGTGTATTCGGATTGATGGTTGGGAAAATATCTGGATTTCTCTCTCTCCATATTGAGTATGTGCTCTTTGTGACACCTTCATCGGTTTTATTTGCCATTGCATAATAATAACACCACATAATATCTGCATATTGCTCACGTGTCCATTGTTGTCTGTTTTTACTTGTAGTTGGTATAGACACTGACGCATCTTCGCCAGGTAGGCCAGGTTGAGACATAGTCTGGGTATGGTTACTATCTGGTTGTGCTGCAGATATTAATGTCTGTGATTGTTGTCCGTTTTCATTGCTGTGGTCATTAACAGGTAAATCATCAAGACGGTTCCGATCCGGTTCCTGCTGCTCCGGTCCGCCTGAGTATCTTTTATTTCTTGTACGTACCATTTGAAATAGTTATAAGCTGCATTTTAGAGCTACTGCCAGCGGGTGTCCGATAACCCTATTTCAGCCGCTCCTAACCTGGAGGCAGACGCTGTTGGATAGCCGCTCCTCTGGAATCAGACGCTATCTATCAGTTATCTTAAATACTGACCCCCTTTAAGTAGGGACTACTTTTGCTGATTTTGTTCCACCCCGAATATTTTATTTTTTCGGCGCCCTTCTCACTGACGAGCGTTCCTTATTCGCAAAGGGAGGCGCCCGATAGAGGATCAGCAACCCCCACGGGTTATTATTATTATTATTATTATTATTATTATTATTATTATTATTATTATTATTATTATTATTATTATTATTATTATTATTATTATTATTATTATTATTATTATTATTATTATTATTATTATTATTATTATTATTATTATTATTATTATTATTATATGTAAATATGGAACACGAAAAGTGTCAGCCAACATTTAGAGCGCGGTTTATCTCCGAAGTACTGATACACCTATTAAATAATTTTATCATTCTGTTAGTGTACCTATTTTTTAGGCTATTATGTTATTGTTTTAGCCTTGATTATATTATTATACTACTCTTCACATAGTAGTCTGTGAAGAGTATTATAGGTTTAGTTTGTCCGATGTCACGATTTTTGTCTTTACGATAAGCCAAAAACGAAAAATGATATCAACTTGAAAATTTTAAGCAAAACACAAGCTCTATAAGAGGACAAAACCTGTTGTTCTTGAAAAAAATTTTTTTTTTATTTTTAAAAAATTAACTTATTTGCGAAGCAAATATTTAAAATTAACGAAAATAATAAGAGCCTTTTAAGTGTCGCTTTTTAAATAATAAGCCGACACAATTATACAAAATATCAGTAGTAAATATTATTAAAATACTAATGTTAAGTATAAATTATTTCGGTTTAAAATTAACTTTTCTTGCCAAGTATCTAACTATTGGTTCCTTTATGCTCAAAAATTTCGAAAATATTATAGTACATTGAACATACAAATTATTGTTAAAAGTTCTCCTATTCATTGTCTTTAAAATAAGTCACATTATTTCAGAATTAGCGTTTTGTTTTATTATTAAATAAATAATTTTTATTTGTAAGAGTAACGGTTTTATTTTCAACAAAATTCCCATTTCTGGTAAGAAAAAATTACTTGATTTGTTTTTAATATCAAGTGTTGCAATAAAAATTTTGTTAAATATTTTTTTTGTGAAAAAACACTCCAAAAGGGGCGTTTATTGATATTACAATCTGATCAAGAGTGGATCAATGAGTCATTTTGTTATAACCTAACTTAACTAGGGTTGCAATCTTAAAACCTAAAGTTCTACTCGCTAGTATACCTTATAGGGTCTGATAACTTAATTACACTAAACTAACGTGTAACACTAAACCGCACAATGCTTTGCTTTGTTATTATCACATAATCACTTGGCTAACTCAAAAGGTTTCACTCTCTTGAGTCTTCTTGTCAGATTCGTGTTGTCAAGAAGCTGGATCGCCTCAACGTTCACATGTTGGTGGAGCCGTTGTTTGTGACTCCTAGCGAATCTGGTGATAGTCTGCTCAACAGTGTCCATCTGAAGGTCTCGATGAAGGTCGCTGTTTCTAATGTACCAAGGAGCATCGACAATGTTCCTCAATACTTTATTCTGGAATCTCTGGATTATTAGAATATTACTGTAGCTGGCACAACCCCAGAGCTGAATGCCATAGGTTTGAGAACCTGTTTATATAATAGAATTTTGTTATGTGTAGATAAGCTGGAATGCCTACCAAGTAACCAGTACATTTTCTTGAATTTTACATCTAACTCCTGTCTTTTCTTTTTAACATGGACCTTCCAGCGAAGTCTTGCATCTAATGTAATACCTAGATATTTTGCCGAGTTAGCATAAGGGACCTTAGCATTATTTATGTTAATTGGTATTCTTTGACCATTTTTGTTAGTAAAATTAATATTAACAGATCTGGTTTCGTTTAGTTTAATGCGCCATCTTTTGGTCCATTTATTTATTTGATTAACTGATGTTTGTAGTTTATTTGCAGCCTCTTCATGATCTTTGCCTATCGCTAGGATGGCAGTATCATCTGCAAATGTAGCTATTGTGTCTTGTTCTAGTTGGGGTATGTCACAAGTGTAAAACAGATACAAAGTGGGTCCCAGGACGCTTCCCTGCTTAAATTAAATATTGATTTTAAAATTTACCGCAATTAAGTACGGCCTAAAGTGGTGTCAACTACACAATCATGATAATTACTGGTAAAGAACTAGTAAAATTATTATTTTCTGCTTAGAAATTTTGAAATTTTTATAATAAATTAAACGTGCATTTTTTCACAGAATTCCTGAATGCACTCTCTTTCAAGTAATGTGCTAAATTGTCACCTTATTTTTGCTTGCTTTCTTTTTTTTTGTAGTAAAAGAAACATCATTCTAAAATTGTAATGGAAAAACTTCTTAAACAAATTTAATTTATAACTCATTTACTTTCAACATAGCTACCTCTATTCCTTATACAAGCACGAGCCCTTTTTCTGAATGACATTTTTACCGAGAATTCTATGGACCGATGAATCAAAATTTAGTAAAGAAGAAATTACAAATTTTCATAATTTGCACTATTGGACTGACGATATTCGGCATCAGAAGAAACAAATTAGTTTCCGAAGAAAATTTGTTGTGGGAGTTATTGTCAATAATTAAATTTGTCCTCATTTTTTACCTAATAACCTTAAATGCGAAAATTATGAAGAATTTTTACGTAACAGCCTAAATGAGTTACTTGCTAACAGCCAACAGATGTTTTTCTAGCATGATGGATGTCCTGCACATTATTATCTAACAATAAGGGAACTTTTAGACGAATGGTTTCCAAACAGAGGGCCTGTTAGAAGCCCAGATTTAACTCCGTTGGATTTTTATGCATGAGGATACCTAAAACAAATCATGTATATAACGGACGTAAATACACGCGAACAATTAATTGAAAGAATACAGAATGGAGCTGATATATTGCGACAGAACTTTTTGAATCGAGTTACCAGGACTGAAATAAAAAGGGCTTGTATAAGGAATAGAGATAGTTATTTTTAAAATGAATGAGTTATAAATTAAATTTGATAAATAAGTTTTTCCATTACAATTTGAGAATGTTGTTTCTTTTATTATAAAGTAGGAAATGCATTTTTTTTGTATTTAGCTTTAATATAAAAGGAAAAAATAAGGTGCTAATTTAGTACATTATTCTTGGTAAAAAATGCTCGAATAATTTATTATAAAAATTTCAAAGTTTCTAAGCAGAAAATAATAATTTTTACTACTTCTTTACTAGTAATTAATATTATTATGTAGTTATAAATTTGACAGATACAGTTTAAGCCGAACCTAATTACGGTAGATTTTAACTCCAATATTTGACAACGTTTTTATTGATATTAAAAAACAAATCAAGTAATTTTTTTCTTGATATAAATATGAATTTTGTTGAAAATAAAACCGTTACTCTTACAAATAAAAATTATTTATTTAATAATAAAACAAAAAGCTAATACTGAAGTAATGTGAGTTATTTTAAAGACAATGGAATGAAGAACGTTTAACAATAATTTATATGTTTGATGTAAGTACTATAAAATTTTCGTAATTTTTGAGCATAAAGGAACCATTAGTTAAAAACTTGATAAGAAAAGTTTAAACTGAAATAATTTTTAGTTAACATTAGTATTTCAATATTTACTTGACTCATAAAAAGGTTCTTATTATTTTCGTTAATTTTAAATATTTGCTTTTCAAAAAAGTTAACTTTTTAAAAATAAAAAAAATATCTGGAAAACCGTTAAGAATGGTATAGAAGTAAATAATTTTTAATCGGTAGCAAATAGGCTCTACTTTCACCTCCTTAAAGAAATACTTCCACTTACCAGTTACTCTGTATAGTTATATAGATTGCTCAAAGTGGGTCGTTTTCGAGCGGCCATATTGTTCATTAATTTAATTCGCCTTAGGAAAAATGTGTTTTAAAACCAATTTTCAGCCTTTGAATATTTAAAAAAATGATTGCCTACATTTTTACTTCAAGGCATAAGCTTATGTTTATTCTTAAAAACATGGATGATCAGTCTATATGACTTATCTATATAATTGACCCTATCAAACCACCAGGCCCACTGTGTTGCCATATTATAACCTATCATGTGCCTGTCAGTGATCTGCCATTTCAAACGGGCTGCCATTTTGTTTGGAATGCCCAATGACATATATAGTTTAAATAGACTGCTTATCCATACGTAAATAAAACGATGAAAAGCGGGTCGAACTGGGAGATGTTTTCTCTTTGTCTAGTGCATGCAATGTTTGTGTTTTGTCTCAATTTTGAGTGCTCACTGGTAAACAAAACTTTCACAGGACCGGTTTTAAAGAAAGTTTAGTCTAGTTGAGATTTTGTTCTCATTGTCATTACTCAGTCGGACATTTTGTTGAGTTGTTTATTTTATTTAGTTTTAATTATACTTATGTTCTGTTTTAAATTTTTTAATTATTTGAGTATAAAAACTTGTTTTGTTTTTAAATGGTGAATTGCTCTATAAAGGGTTGTAAGACCAGCTACAGAAATATAAAAAGTAACATTTCATTGTTCACGCAAGTATCAATACAAGTAGGTACAAGGTAAATACGTTTATAATAATTTTATGAATTATAATTAATTATAATAATAATATTAATAATAAAGTATTTATTGTAAATACAATTACTTACATAAATATTATTATATTCAAAGGCCCGAGTTAGAGCTATCTGGGCTTTACAAGTACATTTTAAAATTTAGTTAGATACAGAGAAGTATCGTATAATAAAAACAATATAAATAGAGGAAAAACGGAAATAAGTACCAATACAGAGAGACAAACACTTTTATTCTTTGATAGGTTCTTTCTATGTGAATTCTAGCTCTGGCAATTTTGGCATTAAGTAAAG